TACGCCTGCTGCTCACACCTGCATCGTTTGCAGTCTGATGTGATTAATGATCGTTAGTTTCTCCCTTGCAGACCCCATAGACATCGTGAAGGACTACATCACTCCTCACGAGTACCTGGTGGAAGAAGACCCCAAACTCTATCAGTCGGTGAAAACCAAGCGCGGCCCGCTGTCGGACGACTGGATCGAGGAGATCAACCAGAATCCTGGTGAATGTCCCGTCATGTGCGCCTACAAGCTCTGCAAAGTGGAGTTCAGATACTGGGGCATGCAGTCCAAGATCGAGCGCTTCATACACGACGTGGGTAGGTATGACACATGGTGTGTGTGTGTGTGTGTGTGTGTGTGTGTGTGTGAGAGAGTGTTTGTCACCTTTAAGGCAATTTCTTTCCTTGTCTCTTTATGTAAGAGAATCAGGATGTGTGAATAAACTACGAACGGTCAGGACTAACCCTGAAAAACTGAGAATAACTTTAGTGAAGTAAAAGAGTATATCCATGAATAATTTTGAAAGTTTAAAGATAAGAATGGAAATTTGGGGATAATTCAACAGAATACAGTCATGGAAAAATGGTATAATAATAATAATGAGAGTAACCCTAAGTTAAGAATTAACATGAAGTTTATTTAAAATATGTATTATTTACATTCTTTCTTTCCTTTGCGTGATTTGTCTCCAGTTGGAAAATACTTCCCTCTTGTGTTTTTCTGTAATTAAGTAATTCAAATCTAATTGAAGTGAATAAATTAAAACGATGAAGACGTTGGAAAAGTCAGTCAGGAAAAAACCCACAAAGTGATAATACTGAAGGAATTAACCCCAAAAAATCAGGATAACCCTGAAAATGATAATCTTATAAAACTTTATTTATTACTTTAACCATAAAAAGATATAAATATGAATGTGAATCCTTCTTCCACCACCGGTCCTGAGTATCACTTTAAATGGAGATGAAAGTAAACAATGACTCTGACAAACAGATTTGATATTCTCTCAACAGAGTAATTCTTGATCTCGATCTTTACGACATAACCCGATTAAATATCTAAAAATACTTACCCAATAAACACCGAACGACCGGAGGAATCCCCGGATCCTCTAAACGAGACGGAAAGGTTGAAAGAATCCGTCAAAGAAGATTTGATTTCAAACGTCGTCTTTCTTTTGATGAACCCAACAAGCAGCTGCTCATAAACCCGAGCAGATCTTTATTAAAGCAGATAACCTGGCAATAAAAGACAGAATTAGCAAACAGAGAAAAGTTATTAGATTGATATCCAGTGGAAACAACCGCTGACACATTAATAAAGCTTGAGAGGTTCTGCATTACACAACCCAGAGACCTCCCAGCACAATCTACAATAAAGACAATTTGTCAGAACTTGAATGTGATGACCGGGTTTCATGCAGATGAGATTAATACTTCAGAGGAGAGCTGATACAACACAGGACGAGTTGTGTTGAAGCACGTGTGTGGAGGTAGCAGTGGACATGAAGATCTGTTGATTAGACCACAGAAGACGGAGCAGCTGCTGCTTCATTAGCCTGGAAGTAAACGCTGCGAGGGAGCGAGCTCAGTGTAAACAGTCTTAAATCACAGCAGGGAAACAGGAAATGAATCCGGCCGGCTGTGTTATCTCACGCAGCCAGACTTCTTCTCTGAGCTCCCGCCTCTCGAACACTCTCTACGAGGCGTCCGTGGTATTTAGTCTTACCTGTCCTCTCACTGCTCCTCACACTCACCTTCCTCAGTGTCGTCTCCTCGTCTGCGTCTGTGCTCCACACCAGAGCGCTTTCATTCGTCTGTGGTTCATCATGAAGTCATAATGTCACGCTAGAAGATGAAACAATGTTATGCAAGTCAAAGTGCAGAAGTATTGTCAGTGAAATGTACTTAAAGTATCAAAACTAAAAGTACTCATTATCTATAAATCTTTCTTTAGATTGCTGCACTAAACGAAAAAAATAAACTAGATTTTATAAAATACTAGATTTAAAAATCTAAACTAAAAGTATCTTTTGCATGCTTTATTTATTATTGCATTGTTTATTCGTGCAGGTCTGGATAGAGATGTAGATCTGCTGAAGCATTATCTCAGTCTAAGTTTTCTATCAATGAAACCAGTGTGAGTGCAATTAAAAAGCAGAAGTCTGGGCCACATCTCTTATTCATTCATCATTAATAATGTATATTATTTGCCACCACATTCCCGTTGTTTGTCTGGTTGAAGAGCCCAGACTTCAGCCTCTCTTCACGTTTGAAACTGAACCGACACCTTTGCTCGGGACCTTTATCTGACATTTCTACCTGTGGAGACATTCTCTTTTTTGCCGACCGTAACAATATATTCTTAAGGTTAATCCACTTAAGTTGATTTATGTCACAGAAGTATGATTTGTTCCTCAGTAGAATGCCAATAAATCCTCGTTGCTGTCCTTGCAGGCCTGCGTAAAGTGATGGTTCGAGCCCACCGGCAGGCGTGGTGCTGGCAGGACGAGTGGTACGGCCTGACCATCGAGGACATCCGGCTGCTGGAGCTGGAGACCCAGCTGGCTCTAGCTAAGAAGATGGCCCAGTACAGCGACGGGGGAACCGAGAACAGCGGCTCCTCCGTCAGCCAGGACCAGGGGCAGGGAGCTGAGGCCGCGAGGTCGGCTGCGGAG